TGAGAAGCTTCGAAGGCCGTCAAATCTTGGGACATGATAATGCATGACAAATGCTATTAAGACTGATACTTCGGTGAGCGAAGGGAAGAAAAGGAAGGTAGCAATTGCAACAACGGCCCTTTGTTTGGCTACACTCGTCCAGTTGTGGGGCGGGGCCGAAGATCCGAACCGTATGCACGAAGTTGGCACTTTGCAAATTTGGAGTTTTTGTCCTGAACAATTTGTGGAGATGTGTTGTTGTTGTTGGAAGTTGTGAACTATTGCAGATCACCGTTTGTGACGTCCATGGATACTTACGGCTTATTTTAGCATAAGGAATTGAAATTAAGTAAGGGAGTTGCAGCATTTGCAGCATGCCCTTGTCATCATTGTGTTGTGCATCTGCATCTGATTGAGGCTCTTTGGATTGCTATCTGAGAGCAGCGCCACAATAATAGCAGATAAGTTAAGTGGCTGGTGCAAAACGCCTTATCGAAAGGTGCCACAAACACCTGCTTCTTCTTTAGGTGAACACATCGTTCTGGGTTCTTGTCAACAACAACAACACCTACCCCGCATCTTCGTATCCCACCTCTTCAGCTCTCGTAATGTTATCAGAACCTCGCTACAAGCGGATTGACAGCAATTCCCTGGCGTCTTAGAGTCGAACTGCTGACAGGCGTGCAGGTCTCGGACTTTTCACAGAATGACGCCTCATTGGTAGAAACCGGATACAGCAGATCTCTTTCAGTGCCCGATAACCTGTCTTTCGCCCATCGTGATGCAGGCTGCACGCCCTGACGTCGAACATGACCCGCGCCCGGATCCTCGGCAACATCCAGGTATGGCGAGATATCTGCAGCCTTCCAAGTTCGACCGACATCCATAATCATCGATATCGCGATGCAAACCACAACCATTCCCGACTCGGACTTCACTCGGGCTAGAACAACAATATACGCCGCGGGAACAATAATAAGCGAGCAAGACGGCACATAGGATATGGGAACTCCTCCGCTTTGAAAGCATTGATTCCGGATTGCCTCTCTCCCGATATGTCTGTGATCCTCGCGGCCTCGACGACAAGCCTTGGGGTGCGAGCAGAAACCAGGACATCGGCAGATTGTGAAGTAGGGCAACAAAGAGCTACAGTATCACATACATAGTCACGCTGCAATGTGTTCCCGAGGAAGTCGTCGACACTTGTTTGGCCCCCCTAAACAGGCGAGAGGTTGCCGTAGCCGACTTCAAGAGGCCTACCATTTCGGCATGGACCGGCCCAGATTACAATTGGCGGCCACTTCATAGACGCGGCGCTAAAAGAACAATATGAAGAGCGATTGAGTTGTCGACAACAGACGCAGAACTTGACGAACAGTGCCATAGACGCGCATCGCATTATCAGAACAACGGTTCAGAACAATCAGAACCAGATGCGCGGGATGAGGTGTGTTGTCGGGACATGAGATCGAGTTATGCTGATCCCGGAAGTGGATTTCCAAGGCGGCTATCTTGGAGAAGCGCGAAGTGGCTTGTATTGACAGGCGCAAGAGCCCGCTTGTAGGATTGGAAATGCCCCGAGTGGCTTCTATTGAGAAGCACTCTTTGGCCCTGATACTGGTATCCGTTGCGGTGCACCTTACATACCCAGACATCACAATAAAGCAACGCTCCGTTAGCTGCATTATTGAGCGCGGAAGTTGGTGTGTGAACGCCAAAGAACATCAAAACGTATCTAGGTCATTACCACGCTTCGAAAGCAGTTTGGTGTCGAATGCGCTTTGCCACATGGACACTCTCACCGTTTTTGGACTTGCAGAAGATGGTAATGTAGACTAGAGGTATCGCCCCATATCCACCCCCACTGCTAGTGATGTAACTGACCCGACTACAGTAGATAAATAGACATATCTCCGCAGTCTTTCATTACCAGCATTCCAACATCCTTCATTACGATAATCACCATGAGTCCAATCGCCTATGCCTCCATTTCAGACACCGTTATCACTACTGAGAAGCTCAAGGGTAGTTCGGTTCCTTCAGCCAGGTACTCGGGTCTACCACAAAATGCTTCGACATCCGAGACATTCAAAGCCATCCTCCAAGACTTTCTAGAAGGCATCAATGTGGACCATACCCTTGCCCCTCCACCTTTCAATCAAGCCCTGTTCAACCTCCTCAAAGACCGACTCGATCGACTTCTGGCCGATGGCACCATCGAGCCGAAACATTACAAGCATCTCATGCATCTGACCCCAACATCAGTCGATTTCGCCACAATCATTTACCGCTCGTTTCCAATCGAAATCCAAGAGCTCGTTGCCCTTTACACCATATACTACGTCTACCTCGATGACAACACCGAAAACAACCCTTCTGTCTTCCTCCCAGAGCTCCGCAAATTCGTCTTCCTCATGACTGGCTCCCATGTCGAAGTCTGCGATCCAATCACTAGGCTAGCAGCCGACCTCGTCCGCATTGAAGCCCCAAGACTTTACAACGGCTACGGCGCCGGCATCATTATCAAGTCTTCCCTAGACTTTGCCATGGGTCTGATGGTCGAGGCTCTCTCGGAGCTCAAGGATCCAGACGGAAAGGTTATTGCCGAATACGGCAAGCGGGACAGCATCGGCACCGTCGAGAAATACGCCCGTTTCCTGCGCCTCAAGACCGGTGTCTCCGAAGCATATGCCCAATTCCTCTTCCCAAAATGCAAATTCCCCAACGAAGACGACACCCTCCTCGCCATCCTCCCTCTTTTCTCGCCAATCATGGACAATATCGACCAGGGCAACGATATCCTGAGTTACTACAAGGAGAGTGTGGTTGGAGATGACAAGCAGACTTACTTTGAGATGCTCGAGAGAATGACGGGTGTTGATAAGTTGCTGTGGCTCAAGAAGGAGTGTGATAAGCAGGTGGGCCTTGTGAGGGGCATGCGCAAGATGTTGGTGGATAATCCCTTGGTGCTGGGGATCTATGAGGACTTTGTGGACGGTTATGTTAGGTGGCATTGCAACGCCTCGAGACATCGGTTGGGGGAGATTGGATTTGGTGCTTCGAAGAAGTAGTTTCTTTCCTTGGCGTTTTCTTTCATTTCGGAGTACTTATGTTGATGTTTTGAGCGTTTGTTTATCTTTTGGGGTTTTCTTTCATATCGAAGTACTTATGTTGATGCTTTGAGCGTTTGTTTATCTTTTGGGGGGTTTTGGAAAATTAAGTCATGTCACTTCTTTCGAGTTTCAATGTTCTGAGGTATTTTGAAAGTGCAAAACGCAAGATGGACCCATTTGGGGTCTTTCTTGCACCTGATGTGAATGGTTGGCAATTGGTTGTGGCCCGCAATCCTGGAAATGGGCTGCATACCCAGAACATTGTTGAATGTCTGCAGAATCTTACCGCGGAATCCCCCATATCGACATACTCGGCTGTTTTCACAATGCTGTGATCATCAAGATGCCGATTATTGTGTAGGTGGGTATTCTCCAAGGTGAAGTTGGCACTGTCAAATTCATCTTGCAGCAATTGCAGCAATGCATGAACAAAAGACAACACCAGGTTGATGCTGTCAACATGGACCCGTTCTCCAAAACTGAATACACCACCATTCCGTCAATGCGACCAGTTCAAAATGTCTGTCTACATTTGGTTCTGCTTTTAAGGTCGAAGCTCGGTGAGCTTTCTATCCATTTCGCTCTCCATCAACAGTTCACTGACAACAAGTTCAGAACCAACCTTCACTACTACGCCGACGCTTTTCGTTATAACTACAGCAAATTACCGCTATCGCCTTCTACTCTAGACCGACGCATCGTACGGTACAGACCCCGATATACAGTCTCCATAGTTACCGCATACCATCGCAGATATGACCACCACACTTCAGTTTTCCCCACAACGTTTCGCTTCCCAGCTTTATGCTATCCTTCTACTCTGTCTCTTCCAAGCAAATCTCGCTTTGGCAGTTCCTGTTTGGGGGCTTTCGGACCTCGAAAATCTATACAAGTCGCTCAAGGTAACAGTGGATGACGCCAAAGTCAAAGTTGATGGAGTCTCAAAAACGGTTGATGGAGTCTCAAAAACGATGAATACATTTAAGACGGTGTTAAAGGTGGTTCAGTTTGGTGGCATTCCCTTCGTCGTTATTGCTTTGGCAATACCTCTCTTGGCCATCTTTTTCTTATTGCGCATTCGTAGCCGGGTTAACAAGCGAGCAGGGGACTTGGAGGGAGAATTCTTTAAGTTAAAGGCCCAGGTACTTGGCTATAACTAAGTAGTAGGGCTGTTGTTGTTAGTTCTCAAGGGACATTGGTAACATGACCTTCAAGTTGGGCAATTAAGCAGCTACTAATAGGCGTTCGTTGGGGTTGAACTTAAGGTATTTCATTATTACGATGGGAGGTATTGTTTATCCGGCCTGGCTTTGCATTTGATTTTGAGTTCAGTTTAATTATGATGTTTTGATGTTTCTACGCATTTTAGTGGTTCAGTTGGAGTTAGAAGAAGTACCAAGTAATTGAATTCATGAGAATTGCCCTTTTCCTTTTTAACCAATCTGCTTGAATGAACAGTATCAATTGCTCACAGCATGCACAAGCTTAAGTGAACAGCTACAAGTATTCATTCATTCTGCATTAAGTTCATGAACTGATATTTCTTGAGAAACTTCGAACTGTATCGATGGAGTGGATGCGGACGGAGCCAATGCAGTAAACTTCTTTCACACGTTAGGTCTGCTTCGTCCATAGTATCCAAGATGATGAGCTATCGGCACCGATGAATTCATGGCCGATGACACCTGTTGTAAAGAAGACTCCAACTTGCACTCTCTCGCTCAACTGAATACACGTGCTAACCACAACTCCCAGCAAACCTCACAGTTGTCACCCAAGCAGGAAACATGTTGAAGCAGTATAACAAAAGCCAATACTTATGACTTCTAATTCCAAACCGGATCAATACCACCAGCATCTCCAAGTACGAGCCTGGTCAGACTGAACTACAGTTGCAAGACATCAGACCAGCTAGATTCCAAACATCACACATCTTCGAGCTCGCGAGGCTTCATCTCTCACACCCAACATACATACACAGAGCACCCATCGTCTCCAACATACAGCATCCCTACTTCGAGATGCCTCCATGGAGTCCCAACGATTCGAGCCAGTTCCGTCGCCTTTCCTCGCCCTTCTCACTACTTCTATTGGTGCTGACCAGTATCGCGACTTCCGCACTGGGCATGCCCAGTCCCCAGAACTCAACCGATGTCGAAGTTGGAGTCCCTGCTGCTGCTGCACCGCTTGTTGCCGCTTCTGACGAGTCGTTCGATAATCGGTCTCTGCGGATTATAGTTCCTATTGTCGGTGGCGCTCTTGTGCTGGCTGCCCTGTGTGGTTGGTACATTCACCGTAATAGGCCAAAAGCGCCAGAAGTGCCACCGAAAGATGTTCCGCCGAAAGATAAGCGGATTCAAATCAGTAAAACACCAGCTCAACTCGAACAGGGTAGTACGGATGTTGAATTCACTCCCGTATCGCTGGGTAATGATAAAAATGATGTAGATATCGAGAAGTCTGATGTCGGTGGGATGGTTGAGGGGAAGGGCCGGTCATAAAAAACGGATCTGCTGTCAATGTTTCTGAAGGACTACTGTTCAGCTGTACTTGAGAAGTGTCAGAAAAATTCCTTCCATAGAAGGGCTTTTGCTTTTACTTAGGTACTCCGTACATCGGATCAGGGCAGAGCGAGAGGGACGGAAATGAAATAGGTGTACATTCAATACATTAATACTTCTTTGGGAACGTACATTACTTGTTAGAGCGTTCGAATTGAGATCGCGAGACCATAAACACATACTTCATTGTGACGACTCTCCTATAAAGCTACTCCGAATCAGTCAAGTTCATTGCCAAACCGATATCAGACCCACTCACTAACTGACAGGTACGTTAGGGGAAGATTTCGAGATCTCTAGCAACAACTCCAACACGACTCGGAAGTTGAAGGGTTGTTGTTTCGTTGGCAGCTTTTGTACAGGCACCTTGAGGCAAGTTCTCCCATAACATCGGCTGGTATAGCGTGGACAACACCTTTTGGATGTTGATAGTCGCCCAAGACGGACAGCACTTGCTTCCTGATAAAACAGAGGTGCCCGCTTTTGCAATGAAGCGGCATTCAACATCTCCGGAATAGCCTTCAACCACCAGATTAGAATATCGCCAGAGCCAGATCATTCATCCTTTCAGAGCTCCCAAGAAACCACCCTCCGCAAAGCTGACCGATAATCAAACCCCATATCTCGCCTTATAACCCAGGCCACAATGACAGCGGTAGCAGTATTCCTTCTACTCCACCTTCACTTCCATCCTGCAGCGGCTATCGCTCTTGCCCTACTCCGATCAAAGCCTGCACACACGTACGATAGCCACCTTGTGGAGCACCAGCACCGGTTGACGATTGCCGTTGAGTCGCTTCTTGGGATGTTGAAAAGCTTCACACCGCTTGCTTTCATGTCGGGGATCTTGTTTGCATGTTGCGTTTTTTGGTTGAGGGAGCGGATATCCAGAGAAAGACAGGCGAAGAAACTAGAGCTTATTGAAGCATATTTGGAGATGGACTGAAGGACGTTTCTGGCTAAGTAGGGATGAATAAGGTCGGCTATTCGTAGATGTCTCGGAATCATCGTCCAGATGTTGACGTGGGTATGGTAGGCGGTGGATCGTGGAAGTTGACCAGGTGGCTGGTGGGAAGTATTCTGGAGCAAGTGGAGAGAATAGTACTTAGCTGATGGCATCCGAGCGAGCTTTTGGATAAAACTTTGGAGCTGATGCTTACTTATTTCTGGTTTTTCCAATGAAAAAAGTGTGCGTTGTGTGAACCAAGTGATGTGGAAGGTTAGTTACTTACCTATCGTTCGGACTCCTCCGAAAGTTAGTTACCAAAACTTGGCTCTGGCGCCCAAATTGTCAGTGGTTGGTCGCTAAAGGGCTCAGAATTAGTGGTGCATCGCTAGCGGATGCCTATTATTTAGCGACGTCAATAGCGCACCCCACCAAATTTGATTGTGCCCCGCACCTGCCTCTCGCTCGTTTGCACCACACCACACCGAGCCAATACAATATCCACAGACGACGAGAACTGTATTCCATCGGGAACTCTAGCACAACTCACATTTCGTACACCCTTCCCCTCGACAAATCCTGACGGCCAGCTGACATGCAAACAAAGGACAAACGAAATCCAACAATGGCTTCCCGCCTTCCCATCCAGAATCTGCTGCTTGCTCACCGTCTCCCCACCACCAGATAAACACCGACTCGCATTTCGCTCTCAATTTCGACCAATAGTCACCACATCTTCACTCCAAGCAAACAGAAAAAGCCCCCAACAGCAAGCATCACCAGAATGTTCTCGGCTTCCCTTACCGCATTCATGTTCAGCCTCTTTTCCATGCTCCTTCTTTTGCATATGCAGTTGCCCGTCGCCCAAGCCGCTGCATCTGCCTCGGATGTGGATCTGTCCAACCTTCCTGGAAACAACTCGAGTTTGATTGATGCGATCCGTACCGCTGCGGCAATCGACAAGACGATAGAAGAGCAGTACTGTTCGGGTTATAAAACATGCTTCAGTAAGGGAGAGCTTGCAGGTTTGGTGGTGGGGACTTTTGTGGGCACTTGTCTTCTTCATGCAGTTGGTTGGGCAATAGTGGCAAGTAGGAAGAAGAAGGGGGGGTGGTCGAAGTAGGGAATTTCTGAGGAGTATTACTCGGTAAAGGCAGATAAACGAAAGATGGTTGGGCTGTAAAACGCTGAGCTGGATGGTCTCGATATACGTAACTCTCCTATCGTCATGGACAAATGCTAGCAGGTAGATAGTTCTATGCATCTCACCAACAACCTCTCAGTTTGCAAAGTCGGTAACCATGGTGCTACCTGGGACTTCTTAGAATTGTGGTTTCTTAAAAAGGTATGCCCTCTGCATGTAAGGTGAGCTCTCAAAGTTCTCGTGAGAATAACATCACAGAAGTGACCTGCCCTAGAGCCTGAGTGAAGCCTCGCGCAAACCTTGAATGTCCCGGGATACTTCAAGATGGCCAGTCACTGCAAACAAATTCGTGAGTTGTACATAAGAAGTAGCGAAGAGAAGACAAAGTGTACCTAATTAAGACATCTCCCACAGGCATCCACACGCCCACGAATCGAAACATCCAACTACCCGTACGAGAAGGCAGACACCGACCACCAGGCGAGATTATCCACAATGCTGTTTTGGCTTGGGGTACTGAGGTTTCTTTCATGCTTCTTCTTCTCCGTCACCTACGCCCTACCCTTCCTATCTTCCGCTCCCCCGAATCACAATATCGCTCGAGCGCTTGACGGCACCTCCCACTCTGCAACAACACATATTCGAATCCAGGAGGAAAAGGATAATTTCAGCAATGAAGACCTATTTGACTTTGGAGTACTGGCTTTTCTTATTTTGTCGGAGTTGCTCATCATCGTTTGCTTTCTAGTTTATTCAGATAAACTGAAAAGGTTGGTTTTGAGGCGCTCAGGCTCGAGACCTTCGCCAGTACCAGTGGTAAACGGGGAGGTAGAACCCCTCATAGCGAAAGGGTCTAATTCGGGAGGTACTCTCTCAGTCTGTAGCCCGCAAGAGGACTTAGATGTACCTGTTTGTGAAGTAGCATAGGAGCGAAGGATTTGGAATTCGAATTGGAAGCTGTACTCGCTGTATTCACAAGCTCAAGTACCTAGGTACCTCTACATTGTGGCTATGTGCAACCTACTCTCAATATTCAGCACGATGTAATTCAACACTACAATTACCAGTACCCTGCAGAACAATGGCCGAAGAAATAGATGACGATGAAGGGTTATGTGAAGGATGTACTTGGCTCGATGCGCATATGCTTTTGTGGTCATGGCTTGCCCACTATGGAACTGCCCACCACTTGTTAGTTGTACGCCGGAGATTAATACAAATAGGATATCGCAAACAGAGTTGTGTTTTGTCTGTGCGGTTGATTGTGATTGGATTCTCTGGTTCAGAGACCTTCGCAACGCTCATCTGCCTGCCTATGTTCCCAGTTCATATCCTATGTCTTATATATAATGCACACCTCTGCAGCTCTGTACTTATCTTCTTCGAACGTTCCGCGATACCTGCGTATAGTTCTCCTCGGGCTTGGATTCATTCAAGATGGCCATCTACCAGAACCAGAGCAAGATGGCCACTTGGTGCAAACAAACTGATACCACAACTAAAGAAAGCTCCCACCATGCATGCAGCGACATCCTTCCCAGTTAATCTACATCTCAGTTACAGCGCACCGCTCGATCGAAGCCATCCGATAGATTCAACTAGAGAGCCTTCCCTCACGGTACCCTATTATCCTATCCACGGTTTCGAAGAAAGTTATTTGGATCCCCTGCCTATTTGAGTAAGTGGCGCTGCTGCATCTCAACAATGGGCTATCCCCTTTCGCTCTTCCTGGTTGCCTGCTTCTTCTCTCTTTCGGTTATTGCTTTACCGTTGGTTTCACCGTCGAGTGAAGTCACCGCAGCTGCCCCCTTACTGAACTCTATTTCCTCCACCGAAGAAGATCAGCCAGAAGATCCAATTGGGTACTGGCTTGATGTCTGGCTTGCTCTTCTTTACTGCTTCGTGGGACTGGTCGTGTTGGTGCAGTGGTTGAATCGGAAAATTAATGAGATAGGTGCTGCTGCCTTTTGCGTTTTCACTGTGGTGGGTGTAGTTCTAACGGCCTTGACGCTGTTGTGTGTACCCCGTTTGAGGCCACTTTTTGCTTCTATTCAGGGTGGTGTTCTGGGGTTATTTTTGGTCATTATTATCTTTCTTGGGGTGAAAAAGGAGGCAGATGATAAAGCCAGGCGTGAGAGAGAGCATCTGCTAAAATCCGGCTCTAAGTAGACTTTGGATGAAAAGCTTGGGAGGTTCATTCTTTGCAAGTACGTCTAGTAGAGATGCGTTGTATGGTAGACTATGGGCAGCGCAGCTACGTTAATTTCAGGATGCTTTCATTGTACGCTCGGAAACGGATGATAATTTAAATACTTAGCCGGAAGCAAATCTTAGAGTATCAATGTACCCGGATATTGTAGACTATGAAAGATGCAATTTAAGTCCATGTGGAGAATATAGGAGATGAGAATCAAGATCAAAGAGGTAGCCCAATGCAAAGGACTGATACCAGGCCACGGCCACTGCAGCACTGCAGTACATGGACCACAGGCATGGCAGTTAAGAACTTAAGGGCTTTCAGCTCTTCCCGTGAGTCGAATTGCAAATAGAGATGCTGTACTTGATACATTAAGTGAACCACTGCTTCTTTCATGCGAAGTATGTGACATGTCTTAAGGGCAAGTACAAGTACAAGTGAGTCTCTGCATCAAGAAGTACTTAATGGAGACTTCCGAACCATGTTTATGTGTGAGTGCGCACGTGATTTACAATGTTTAAGTTCTCAGTAAGTAAGTAGCAAGCGATTCGACTCGCAGACGTCTTTCGTTTGCATCTCCGCCACACCCGCAAAAACAACAAATCCTTCCCTCTTCCCGATATCCCTTCGAAAAATTATGATTGCTGGTTTTGAGGCTTACAGGTCAAACGGAATGAGCGAAAGTTTCTGTCAAATTGCGATACTTCCTCGCTCGTTCGCCCTTTCTGATCCTTCCTGAGACAACCGGACCTCTCAGAAGAATATCACCAAGCCGACCTCACATCGTCAGAATCTCATACTCTCACGGTCAAACAAA